AAGAGCTCCGCCTGTATTTATAATTTATGTGTGCAAAATACACAAAACAAAGAAGAAGAAAAAAGAGGACAACATCTGTTGGTACCATAAAGAGTTAGAAAAAAAGGTCAGTTTTATGAAATTTCCGTCTGCTGAATTACAAGCATGTAGATGATACAAAACGTATATCCACAATACCATGCACTAACTAAAAAATAAATAGAACAGGCAGATACGTGTAGCTGCAGGTACAACACAAACGTTCGAAAGATTGCTATATGTATCTTTATAAGTCTAGAGCATTGTTCGACTCTCAAGGAAACACCACCATTTGAGGTTCAATTTCACATGTACATTGTATTTGTTTCATTCACATGGTCGAAATCGTAGGTTTATGTGAGAGACAAATATTCAGTTGTTATTGTCTATATTAAAATATGAAGATGTGGTATGATGCCCAATGAGACAACACTTTAGCGACGTCAATGTGTACATGGGCTGGAAGCCATTTTCGCAAGTGTTATAGAAATTGAAAGAAAAACAGAAGATTTTAAATAAATTTTGTGTTCAAATAGTCATCTGGCAACAAGTAGGATAATTGATATATATATATATATATGTATTTACAAAACATGAGATAGGAATACGTGACTTTTATAACAGAAATGTGAATACATTACAAATATTATGAATATTTCAGACAACCAATGTAAAAAAATCATTTCTTGGGTATTTTATACCCGTTACTACGACACACACAATTATATATTTCCAAAGCTACCAGATAGTAAATGAGGAACTAGAAAGCATTGCTGAACCAGTAAAAACGACTTTTAGTCTGAATATTAACAAAAAATAATGAATTGCGCATACCGTAACTAGATGTGGAATGATGTTCCTAAAATATTTCAAACAATTCGTGACTTAAAAAAAAGCACCCTCAAAATTTGGAGAAATTAAGGGATTTTTCAAATTATATAAAAATAAGGAAGGTGGTAGTTGGTTAAACTTTAACCGAGAATGATGTTGAAAACACAAATCTAGTTTCAAATTTGAATTGCATTGCTATAGTGCAAAGTTTTCGTATAAACAATATAACTGTTAAAATGCTTTTATTACGTAAAAATGTAAGATGGTTATTCAAAGCATATTTTGATTTGCTACAGTAATATTATTTCAATGGTAAATAAAACACATGTAATGAAGACAATTGCGTTGGATTGGTCTTAGTCGAACCATGCATTTAAATTAACTAGCGTTAGCTTTCTTCATACAGTTAATATAGTCTATATCAGACGTCCAACGTTTCATTTTTCTGTCAAACCGAAGTGGCAAACAGTAAATTCTTAACTTATAAAAAGTTTAAACCGCTAAAAATGAAGTACATTCCATTAACCCTGGAAGTCCAATCACAACTACAACTAGTAATGACTTCTATCAAAAACAAGATCACAACTCCATACTACAAGTATACATTTTATCACATTCAGTGTATGAGGGTCTGAATAGGGGTCCTTCCTTACTGTATTCTTCCAATTTCAGGCCATTTTTCTATATTCTTTCAATTGCAGGCCATGTTTCTGTATTCTTTCAATTGCAAGCCATTTTTCTGTATTCTTAATTTGTTTGTCCGTCGTATCTATTCTTTTTTATCTAAGCACCCATTCTTCTTTGTTTTTTGTCTATTGTTTGGCTATTTTTTCATTTTGTTGTCTTTCAAATCTGTATTGTTTGTCCATTATTCTCTTTTCTATAAACCCCATCCAGACCCTCGTGTTCTCATAACAAAATTTCATCTTAACAACAAACATAAATAAATCTATATTTAAACAATAAACACAACCAGCTAAATAAGTAAACATAAACTTCAACAAACAATAATAAATACATTGAAATATATGTACCTCTTATAATAAACATTGATCAAATAAATATGAATTGTAACATGTAGTAATGTAGATGTTAATCTTTATCCAGTTCATCTTTGGTGGACCAACAACTCGGAGCCGCTGTCAAACTGTTCACATAACTTAATAGAAAATGAACTGGATTTTGCCCTTTAATATCCTCTTGATGATTCACCAAGATACGAATACTTATAGAAAATCTAATCAACAGTTTCCAAACATGAGAAACAGTGATTGAGAATATTTCTTTATTTGGATTATGACAAATTATAAAATTTAGATTTAATAAAAATTTCTAAATTGCAGCGAGATAAAAACTTCCAAGTAAGAAAAAAACAAAAGATAAAAGTTAGATTTAACAAATAGAGTTATCCCTCTTTGTACTGGTTCTCTCCTCTGCCTATTAATATTTGTTCAGTGAGCTTTGTGATTTATATTAACTTACATACTCTAAACGGACCATTTAATTGGGAATAAAAGTTGAATTGAAACACATCTTAATATCAAATACATAGGTTGATAGCGATCCCCTGTATTTGAAAGAAATCAAGAAAAAAACTTTTCTTTAAAGACAAAACGTAACATGAAGGTTTACACCTCAGAATGTTATCGTAAATATCCCTCAAGCTATTTTTTTCTATTTGTAGATCTAATTTGAGAAGAGTACACCTGCCTCTTTCCTATGTTTAGATGATACCGTTTTTTTTTTAATTCCTTTTTAAACCAATTAATATGCTAAACTAAATACATGTAAATAAAAAGCTTGATTATTAGCAACTAGTATGTGTGTTAGAAAGACGTTAGTTTCATATTTAGTGGAAGACTTTTATACTTTAATAAAATTTATACTTTAGTGGGGCTGATCTAAATCCTACATATTTTAAAGCTGTGCTTATTTCTACCAAGTGCATATAGCCTGGGATTGGCAGCGGACTGACGCGAAGAGGAAGGTTGGGCCGGGATCCCATATAGCTGAGAAGCCTGGGCATTAAACGATGAAAGGTGTATTATCGGATATAATCAGTGCTATAACTAATTTAACATAAAAAATTTAATTAAAGCAAAATATCAAACAGCTTTTTGTAAAAGACCTCTCCTCAAGCATTATCAATAGCAGAAAATAAATACGAATTATTCCCCCTTTCCGATAGCAGATCTTGTTAGCGAGCGCCTCAAATTTTTAACTGAATGAGCTGTGTAAACTTATTAAGGAGATCAATAACAAATTTAACCTTTCTGGGTGAACAATTGTAAATGGCTCTATCTACTTTCGTATATTATTTATTTATTCAATTGTATAATTATCTCTATACCTTTGTAATTTGTTTCGTGAGAATAAAGATCATAAAAAAAACATATAATTAGTTCTAGACAAAAAAATATGATTTTAATTTGAAAATAATTATTGCAAAAACTCCAATGTCAAATATGTCATGCATACTCAGGAGGTGTCTAAACAATTGCGAGTAAATTTAAGAGAGACTATTGGGGATTTACAATAAGTGTATGTACGCCTCCGACCCGACTCCGAGTCCGAATAAAAACAAGAATAGAAAAAACGGGGTCGATCTCAAAATAATAAAAATATTTTATACTTTTATTAATCATTATAGTATATAATTTTGCTATTGAGCAAACGTACAACAACCTTCAACTGGCTTGATGTTTCTGACATTAATGCATCAAAAGTGTCCAATGTTCACTTAATACATGTACAACGGAGATTCCGTAATCTGGTATGACTTTGTTGAGTTTCCTATGCCCATTATTGCGGTCGGACTGTCTATTGTCTGGTATAAGGCGTCACAACACGATAACAGTTTGGATATATTTTATACTCACGAATTGTGAATAATCAGACAAATCTTACAATTGCATTGGTAAAAAAAATAATAAAACCTCAATTTAGATTGGTTAGTCATACCATCTTAATTTTCATTCCGTTACTGTAATTGAACATTATATTGTAATTTGGCCCAACATTATTTTAAGATCGCCATTATTGTTAAACTGTATGAAAAAAGTAAAATAACAAAAATACCGAACTCTGATGAAAATTCAAAACGGAAAGTCCCTAATCAAATGGCAAAATCAAAAGCTCAAACACATCAAACGAATGGATATCACCTGAAAGGTAGTCTTATTCGGACAGTTATGGTAAATCCATATTGAACGGTCCTGACTCAGAAAAGAAGCTTGAACACATGACGAGGTGAACATGTTTTAGAGTCTTTAAAACCTTATTACTGTGTAAACTAGAGGTAAAAAGGAACAGTTTAGTCTCAGATATATGATGTTTTTCATTAGTTGTTATTGGCTTTGAACTAGCTTTCAGTAACTGCAAGTCTCTCAGATCTGTAGTTAGGGTCTTTTTTGTTTTTGTGCATTGTATTGCTGTAATGGGCAAAGACCTTCTCAACTGATTTTTATAGTCCTGTGTTGTTCTGTTACGCTACTGTCCCAGAAGGAGGGGAGCGGCACTATAGTAGTCAAGGTAAGAATATTTACTGCTAGGCATACTTATTCTATATAGTGAGCAGGGCTACACACAGTTAAACGGGCATAAGCTTCTATTTAGTCTAATGAAATAAAAGAAGAGTTTTTTGTTGCTGTTTCAAACATCAATATTCAAATCATTTGAATCGGTATTAATTGAGTAATGTTGGATGTGAAACCACCACAGTACTGAAAGTGACGTGTAAAGGGAATTCTAGTTGCCATTTTCCTAAATTAGTACGATTTACATTATTCTGCATATATTAACAATACAACAAATATAGTGTTTCAATGGTTATATAAGACATGATACTGGCCTTTAGACAAAAATGTAATATAAACATCAGTCTTGTTGCCGTAATACCTGGTTTAAAACATTAACTTCCATTCAATAGGTAAACATGTGGCAAACTGGTTTGCACATCGGTACGTGTAACCAGATATATTGAAAGCAGATATTCTCCTTATAAAAAGGGGGATGGCTAAGTTTTTATGACCTTTGTCATTGACGTGGATTTTCCAACACACAAGCACACACACAAATACGCATCTGGCTACATCTGAATCTGGCACACTTGTGTTTCATAACTAGACTCGAACACTAATTATGATAGACAGAAGTTATATGAACAGTTAACTTCTTATACCACTCATTCAGTGATGTGGCTTTAACAGCCAAAGACACCATAAAACAAGCACTGTTTCTGTTTTACAAAATAACAGCATTCTTGATAGTTCCTTATCGCCCTGAAAACTCTTTATATTTATGATCCAATATTTTATTCGTACAAAACATTAGAAGTTTCTCTTGACTTTTTCAGTTTATTTTTATTGAGAGCATACCCAATAAACAAGAATACTGATGACAAACACAGAATAATTCCATCTGAATAAAAAGTAATGGCGTAACTTCCTGTTTCATCGAAAAGCCAACCTGAAAAGAAACACATATAACTTATAATTTAAATATCAATATATAATAAGGAGAAGTGATATGATAACCAATTGGACAACTATCCATCAGAAACCAATAGACGTAGGTGTTATAAACTATAATAGATCATCGAACGCCATAGTCCTTCAACGCATCACTAAGAAAGTTATTTAAGAACCATAGAAAATCTGATTCATGGACGAAAGGACTAAAAATGAAGATTTTCAATATCTTATTTGGAATATGAAATTCATAAAACTATATTTCATTTGGACTTTTAGCAAGTTAGGTTAAAGTTTATAGAACATACTATAAATCTCACGCTGCTTGGAAATATTAATAACTCCCATTATATCATTATGATCAAATGTGAAATGGATGTCAATTATCTTTCAAGGTTTTAAAGGCACTACATTGAAATAGCAGAGTTTCAACAAATTCGAATTGCATGATTCTTATATGAACTATATATCATTGTATATAACGAATTTCTTCATAAATACGGGTCAATAAGCTTGTAGAGATTTTCATCACCTACCATTATTTTTAACAACCTTTCTATTGATAGAAAAGACTACATCATTTTTTTTATAATTTAACTAAATAAGATAACCAAACAAACAGAAATATAATACATAATACTCATACTTAAAATACCTACTACATACTTACATGTATATTATATAAATACGTAAAACTACAGATAAATAAATTCTATAAATAATACATAATTTCCGACAAAACATGTATTTTATTATTTTTTTTATCATGTCAATTATTTCTATAACAATGTGACAGTAACAAAATCTAAAGGAAATACGGTCGTCGACAACAATAGACTAATTTATTTACAACATTGCGAAGCTCTTAATCTTCCAGAGTCGAGGTTAATTGATTGCAAAATTGCTTAACGTCCAATGACACATATTTTGTGAATATATTCAGCATTAGATCGAACCAATAGGTAGTTTCTACAAAGTGGGTCTACCGGGAAGGATGCTGGCAATTTTGACTGCTACTGGATAAAGTAGGGTATGTGGAATGGGAATGCAGACATAGTCTTGCAACAGACCATTGATCAATCTTTTAAGTTATGTTGTTTCTTTAACGGGCATAAAGCGTGACACTCTACTCTTCACGAGGCAATGGATGTTAATACGTCCTTGTGCCACTTATTCGTGATTTCGAATTTGTGCATTCTACAAGGCACCAAATAAGTCCCCTTTACATAGGTTTTAGTACCGGACGAGAGAAGTCATTTTGAAAAAAAATCCATATCTCAGACAACCCTTACTGTAAATAGTAAATACGTTAAACAGAAACTTGCTGTAAATTGTAAATACTTTTAACAGAAACTATCAAAGATCAGATGTCAACACAAATTTTTCTCCAAAGGACATAAAAAAAAAACATCAAGATTCGGAAGTTTTGTCGATGCGGTCAAGAGTTGGTTGATCATTATGAAATATCTGTTTCATAACTGACCATGAATATGTTCCAAATATTGAAACCACAATCCTTCCCCTTCTCTTCGATTGTGACATCAATGAATGAGACTTATTACTGTCTTTGTACTTACGATAAGTAACATGACCGGTGCCACCTATCTGTTTACCCTTCCAAATCACCTTAAAGCAACCCTTGTTTTTTGTTGCTTAGTCATTGGTTTTTTTATGTAGAGTTTGTAGGCTTGTTTGTCTTTTCGCTGTCTTTCTTTCTTTAACATGGCGTTTCCTTCGACTTAAATGTCCCTTTGGTGTTTTTCACCTCTTTTTGATATAACCAATAAGAAAATGATGACACGGTGTTCGATAAGAGACAGGGACATGAGCAAGTGGCCCTTCTCATAGTCTGTGATAAGCAAGTTGAAAAAAGTGATTTTTTTACAAAAAGAAGCATTCCACTTAATAACGTAAATTGTAATGTTCTAGAGTATAGGTTTTATTTCGTCGAATGACTAATTAAATTATTTTATAGTGCTGTATTTGAATTAAATAAAAAAAAAATATTCATGATATATTTACAACCATTATAAAAATGTGTGTGTGTATTTGTATGTGTGTTTCACTTGGAATTCTTACGAAAAAGCAATATAATAACCAGTCACTTACCTGCAGCCGGTGTTCCAATTAATAGAAAAAGACCTTTGAATAGCAACATGTTACCAAAGGAACTCGTCAAATTATCTATTCCAACAAAATGAACTAAAACAATGGCGTTCAAGCATATGTATACACCTACAATTGTAAAGGTTACATTTCATTTCTTTCTTTGGAACTTATTGTCGGGATTTGATAAATATTGAGTTACGTAATCTTTTAAGTTTGTGGTTGTATCAATTCATAGAGATTTCAGTTTTGTTTATGACATGTCTTTCTCCTGAAACTCGTGACAAAAAAAAACGGTGTCATCTCATCTCAAAGCAGTTAATATCAGCCGTTTGTTTTGAGTTTGTGGGATTCTATTTTTTATTCTTTATTTGAGCTTTACATTTTTAGTTAGTGTGATTTGCCCCAAGATTATTTCCACCATGAAGCTTAGTGAAATTGACAAAACTTTATGCAATCAGAACTAATTCGTTGCCATAGATCTTACCTGAGTTTTTAATGTTTAACATAAGGACATGAATGTTCCCGACGTCAGCGGCAAGTAAACAACAATCACAATCCTTGTCTACATGCAACTTAGATAATGACGCATGAAAATACCGAACAGTTCAATTTCTGGAGCCTCAATAAACATATTTTGGTATAATTACCAGCAAAGACAGACATAATTATGGGATTCTGTCGAAAAAAAATACATTTGAATGAAACAAGAGCTCCGCCTGTATTTATAAATTATGTATGCACAATACACAAAAAAAGAAGAAGAAAAAAAAGAGGACAACATTTGTTAGTACCATAAAGAGTTAGAAAAAAAAGGTCAGTTTTATGAAATTTCCGTCTGCTGAATTACAAGTATGTAAATGATACAAAACGTATATCCACAATACCATGCACAAACTAGAAAATAAATAGAACAGGCAGATACGTGTAGCTGCAGGTACAACACAAACGTTTGAAAGAGTGCTATATGTATCTTTATAAGTCTAGAGCATTGTTCGACTATCAAGGAAACACCACCTATTGAGGTTCAATTTCACATGTACATTGTATTTGTTTCCTTCACAGGGTCGAAATCGGAGGTTTATGTGAGAGAAAAATATTCAGTTGTTATTGTCCATATTAAAATATGAAGATGTGGTATGATGCCCAATGAGACAACACTCGACCAAACACCAAATGACGTAGAAGTTAACAACTATAGGTCACCGTACGGCCTTCAACAATGAGTAAAACTCATACCGCATAGCAAGCTATAAAAAGCCAAGAAATAACAAACATAAAACAATTCAAACACGAAAACTAACGGTAATATTTATGTACAAAACAATAAACGAAAAACAAATACGATATACAGCATCAAACGACATACCGATTTTACATTGAAAAAGTATTATTATATTATGACTGAAAAAACTATAACATAGTTTAGTGGCAGACACCTACCTATTGTATTTATTGTTACTTTTTTCTCGTCCTGAACATGCATGAAATATTTGCCACTGGACTTTAAACAACCAACAATCAATCAATTGAAGAATGCAGTTAAATGTTGTTTGATTGGATGATGTTTGCTTAGCTTCCTTGTGAAATATATGCATTGGAAATTGGACAGTATCGCTTTTTATGCAACCAAATATAAAAAAGGTCATTATAAAAAATGTTTCAGAAGATCAATTGAATTTTTTTTCTCTCGAATTTGAACATTTGACCTTGAAGTTTGAATCACTTTTTTACTTTAATGAATTGATCAAAATGTTTTGCTTGTTTTTTTTTCACATAGAATAGAGTGCTATGAAAATACAAATTATTTCTTTACAAACAGATTAATATCTTTAAAAGAATAAACATACCTGCGCATGCACCAAATAGAACACTATAACACACAAGGAACTCGTGACTGTCATTAAAAGGAGAAACAAAAGTTGATATTCCACAAAGTAGTAGACTAATTCCATACATTATAGATGGGTTTGCAAATTCACGAGATGCGAGCCACCCAAATACTAATCGTGCAACTGTATTAGCCATCCCAGCTACTGATAGAAGAAAAGATGCGTCTGTTTTCGATATTCCAACTTCGTAAGCACGATCAGGGATGTAAATATAAGGTATTCCCGAACCTATTGATCCAAAGCAATTACTTATGACGAAAAATATATACACTATATCTAAGCACATTGCACACCCAAAAATTGTGTATAACTTCTTTAGAAAATGATCGACAGTTGTCCATACCTTTCTTCTTGTGCTGTTGGTTGTATTTGGGCGTGAAGGTGACGATTTATTCGTATTAAGAACTAAGTCTTTGTTTGTATGTGTTTCCATATTGGACTGAGATCTTGTTACATTAGAATCACACAAATCAGAACTTTTCTGGTAAAGAAAGCTGTCACTTTTCCCTACAATTAACGAAGCTTTTTCTTCAGAGGAATCCTGATCAAGTGTTACCTCCCTTTTGTTTATGTCTAATTTCTCTGTCTCTTCTCGTTTCATTTTCAAATTAAGAGGTCTGAAAAATAATCCACCAACTACACAGTTTAACATAATACCAGAGGCAATTAAAACTGCTCCTCTCCACGTGTATAATTCAATTAAGTATTCGGTTAATGGCGCCAAACCGAAGGTACCGATGCCAGTTCCACATAAAGCGATGCCCATGGCAAACGCTCTTTTCTTTTCAAAGTATTGTCCAACACATGATATTGCTGCAACGTACATTAAGGCAGCACCAATTCCTTCAAATATTGAGAAAAATCATTTATGTTTGATGTTACTGAAACATGATTTATAAATTCTAAAGAATATCTTTGCTACTCCAAACACCTAAATCAACAAATTAATAATCAACATCTTTATAGTTTCAGACATAAAACAAAACGCATTCGTACCTGACATTATACAAAGAGAGAAATTGAAAAATCTCATATTTCGGAAGGAATTTGTCCTTAATAGTATACATGTAGTTATAATAATAATTGTTTTTTGTTTGTTGTCTATTTTTGTAAATGGTGAAAATACATTGTCATTAATTAGACATGCAGTAATCGGGACTTGTTGTGCCCTTCTGGTCGTATATCTGTTCCTTTACTTGAATGAATCACTGTTTAAAGCTAAACTTCACAAAGGCCCAACTAAAGAGCACTAGTCTTGATACACATTTTCAACAATTCCTGCAACTGACATAATTTTTGTCCACATTTTATTCTCACTTATTCAAAATTAACTGTGATCGTTGTCCTTTCGCCAGTTTAAAAACTTGGTATTAGAATTTCTAGGTAATTTCATACCAAAAATTTTGACAAACAGGTCAGTCAACTTTTAAAGGTAAAATATTTGTTTGTACTTGTACCTTAAGTTTGTTATATATTAAATCGTTATTATAGAGTAGTGCTTTTCCTATATTGATTTTTTGTGTACGTTCTTTTATGTACCTTTTGTTAGTCAAGTCAGTGTTCGAGATTGTGAACAGAGGGAAAGTTTCGAACTAAGAAAAATACTTTAACCTTGTCACATATTCATGAACTTGGCTCCTTTAATTCTATTTAAGCCGACAACAATTTATAACAATGAATGTTGAAGTTATTGCTTCGCATCACGATCACTATATTCAAGCCATGTTGAAATTAATACTTAACAAATATCGGTTCTGATTGGTTGCCGCATGATGCAGCTAAAATTGGATTGGCTAGAATAAGATATAGAATTCGGACCATGTTCCGGACAGGAGAAGATATCAAATTACAGTATCGGTATTCAAAATCCGATCAACGTGTCTTTTAGTTAAATCTCTGACATTGTTCCTAGTTTTATTTCAATGAGTAATGGAAAAAAATTGATTTTATTTTTCCTTGTACAGATTATGACATATTGATAATTATTTTTAATGGTATAAGTGAAATGTATAAATAACAGAAACATTATCAACAATTGTGCTTGAAATGTCGATTTTCGATTTTATGTAGATAGAATTGAGAATGGAAACGGGGAATGTGTCAAAGAGACAACAACCCGAACAAAGAGCAGAAACTACCCAAGGCCACCATGCAATTGGTCTTGAATACAGCGAGAAAATCCCACAGCCGGAGGCGGGCATCAGCTGGCCCCTAAACAATAATGTATACCTTTTTTCTATATAACCTAATGGATGAATGAATATATAGCATTAATTTTCCTCTTTTTTTAAAATTACTTTTCTAAAATATATTATTTTTTAGCTAATTTGAGGAAGAGACATGTGGACTATCAATTAAGAAAAGAAAAAGAAAAAATACAAACAATTCTTATGTTGTACTGTTACACCACTGTCCCAGGTTAGGGGGAGGGTTGGCGCCTTCAAACGAGATTAACCCCGCCACATTCTGTATGTGCTTGTCCCCCGTCAGAAGCCTGTAATTCAGTGGTTGTCGTTTGTTGCTGTGTAACATATTTGTTTTTCGTTCATTATTTGGAACATAAGTTATGCCGTTAGTTTTCTCGAGTAAATTGTTTTACATTTGTCAGTTTGGGGTCTTTTATAGCTGACTATGTGGTATGGGTTTTGCTCATTGTTGAAGGCCGTACGGTGACCTATAGTTGTTAATTTTTGTGTCATTTGGTCTCTTTTGGAGAGTTGTCTCATTGACAATCATACCACATCTTCTTATTTTTATATTAATTATAAATAAGAAGATGTGGTATGAGTGCCAATGAGACAACTATCCATCCAAGTCACAATGTGTAAAAAGTAAACAATTATAGGTCAAAGTACGGCCTTCAACACGGAGCCTTGGCTCACTCCGAACAGCAAGGTATAAAAGGCCCCAAAATGACTAGTGTAAAACGATTCAAACAGGAAAACTAACGGTCTAATCTATATAAAAAACTAGAAACGAGAAACACTTATGAACTATACCAACAAACGACAACCACTGAACAACAGGCTCCTGACTCAGGACGGGTATATACAAATGCAGCGGATTTAAACGTTTTAACAGGCGCCAACCTTCACCCTAACCTGATAACAGTAGTGTAACATTACAACATGAAAAGACACACAATAAAGTATCAATTGAAATGGCTTAACTCGATCAAAAAGATATGTAGACAAAAACAGGTAAATATATACTGAACGAATAAGTTTGATCTATGACACAATATAAATAAAAAAGATATAACAATGTCGAAAAGACAACTTTAACCTAGGACAAAATGGCTTTAAATAAAGTAATGTACACAGGTAAATTTAAATATAATAATTTTGTTATTAGGAGTACAGAATCATTTTTTACAAAATAAATTTGTTGTTCACAGTGCGAGTGCAGAAGTGAAAATGTATCGTCATACTAATAAAAGATAGTACATATTAAAAATAGTGAGACGAAAACAACTAATAATAAAAAATCATGCATCAGAGACTCAAATCAATTAAAACACATCCCAGGAAGGGATTTAGTGTTTTAACGCCATGGACAGTCAAAGAAGACACGACAGGCAGCAGGATAGTTAGGATTTAACCTTATAATAAATATGTATGATGTTATATATAGATAAAACAATTTCTAAATAGAAAATAAACGTGGATGTGTATATATTCATCCCCAAAAAAAAACCAATCGAAAAGAATACAAATTTATTTATGTTTTAATTTGTTGATGACAAAATCGATGTTATTGCCAATGTAAACAATATTCAAAGACCTTATTACAACATGTATATGTAAGAGAATGATAATCCCTTTCTTCATGATTAAGTACGAGCGTTAGCGAGTACTTATCATGAAGAAAGGGATACTCATTCTGGGTTTGGCCATAAGCTGTGATTCATAGCAATATAGGAATAAATCTGCTATTAAAGGGGCGCAATTAGTGCCCATAGGAATACCAACTACCTGTCGATACACTTTATCGCCGAAACGTACATATATGTTGTCCAGGAGAAAATTTAAAGCTTCAATCATATCTTCACATTTCTAGTAAGTGTATCAAGCATACTTTCCTTTTTCGTTACAGAAAAAGACTTTAAACGAGTTACAGCAAATAAATGTGCAATGAGATTTTTCAAGACCATTCAATTAAATATGGAAACTTTTTCTTGATAAAATTGTGTGGAAGTGTAGTGTAGAGAGTAGAAAAATCATAACTGTCAACAGAATTAAAAGGACCATCAAAAGCACGTATCTTATCTAAAACCTCTAAAGAATTTTTAACACTCCAAAAATAATTAATAACATTATTTTCATTAACTTTATTACAAAAGTTAATAACAAGTTCTTTGATAGTAGTAAGGGAGGTAGTTAGAAGCACTGACAGATAAGTAGTAGAACACTTACTAGATGCGGAGATGAAACGAAATTTAAATGGTTGTTTGTATAATTTAGGTAACCAGTACATAGTCGGGACTTTTTAATGTGGATCGACCTTCACGAAGGGTGGGAAAATTCTAATGCACTCGGAAGTTGGGTATGACAGGTAAGCTTGCAATATATCACCTTCGGATCTCCCGAAGAGGTGTAAAAAAAAGACAGTTACATGTAACATCGCCGATCGACTTTTCTGCGTGTTCATTATTAGTAATAAGTAGTAGTATTATTGCATACTTCACAGTCATAACAGTCATAACAACTCCACTCTTCCCTCATGTCTAGCTGCTAGACGAGAGACATCTTGGTGACCGTACTGATATATATCTATCTTAATCAAATTTAGATTTCGGGATGTTATTAACAAACTATATACAGAACTCATGCACCTGGAATAAGGGAGCTACCATTTGATTTTTAGGGGGGCTAGGATGAAATTTGGAAAAAAAAGGCAGGACAGGAGTTTTGAAAAAAAAAGTCAGGATGAGCAACTTGGCAAAAAAAAAGGCAGGATGACAATTTATGTAAAAAAAGTCAGGGTAAACTAATATAAAAAGGCAGGACCGAATTGAGTGAAAAATAAAAAGGCAGGAAAACAATTTTCATCCTAGCCTCCCCCCCTCCCCCACCATACAAATCAAATGGTAGCTCCCTAACACCAAATGTAACACACAACCAGTAAATATAAGTACAGAACTCACCTGGAATAACACCAAATGTAACACACAACCAGTAAATATAAGTACAGAACTCACCTGGAATAACACCAAATGTAACACACAACCAGTAAATATTAGGAGCAAAGGCACTTGCAGCAAAACCAGCGGATGAAATAATACCACCAGCTATGGTCACAACTCTAGGCCCATATCGATTGGTCAATACGCTTGCTATCGGACCTGTAATCGTACAAATAAACAAGTATACCTGTTATTAGGTAACAGTTTATAAATAACACATTGCTGAGAGGGTGATAGAGCAGATTGCTACCCCGAGAAAAAATTGTCAACCGAGGCGGAGCCAAGGTTGACAATTTTTTTTCGAGGGGTACCAATCTGCTCTATCACCCTCTCAGCTATGTGTTATTTAATTTATAATACTGAATGTTCTATCCTTATTGTCTTTAAGATTTTAAATTGAAAGTACTCACTATGACGTCATACATAACAACATTACAGTTATTAGAAAAACAACAAAAGTGAAGCATGATTTATTTTTATTTTGATAGTCTATGATAAAGTTCTGAGGCCAAAATGTAGAACTTGAGCATTGTCTTAAAATGCTTAAAATCATTGATGTAAATTCAATTGATTGTCGTTTGGATTATCGATTTTTGATAGGTCTGCACGAGAGGGTGACATTCAAAAAAATATCTCCCGCTGAGCCATGGGATAGAGTAAATTATCTCCCTCGTATCAGCCAATCAAAATCTGGCATTTTAACGTGAAGTATAATAATATGCATTATATAACGTTGCATATTTTATCGAACCAGTCGAACTAGCACTCAAAAGAGAACAAACAGTTTAAGCTATTTGACGGGTGCCAACTGTGGAGCAAGATCTGCTTACAATGCCAGAGCATCTGATATCCATCCCTTGTTTTGGTTGATATCGTATTGCTCCGTCTTTAGTTTTCTATTTAGTGTTTTTTAACTGATGTTTGTTTTTTTATAATTTTTGTTTTGTTTTGCGATGGTTTTGTCGGTATCCATTTGATCGTCGCCCAGGTGCATTCGACGCCAATCTTAATTGACATGGATTGTCAATTTTCCTACCGAAGTTCGGTGGTTCACTCCGGGCATTCCGGCTTCCTCCACCAATAAAAAAGTTACCACCACGAAAAAGCACAATATTGCTGAAAGTGGCGTTAAACGCCAATCAATCAATCAATCAATCAATTGATCGTCGCTTCTTTTTTGTTACCAAAATTATAATGATGCACTATCTAGCGGGTTAACGGCACACACATAATAATAATACTACTACTTCTATCTTTTGTAACTCTGTCAAAATGACCTAACGGTATAAAAAAAGAAAATAAAGGCAACATACCCAGAACGTAATTGGAGCAACAAACCGCATAGAGCAAGAACAGCTCAACCAAAACCAACTCCTTTTAACTTAGACTGAGGTAGTAGCAGCATTGGTTTTAGAGCAGGCGCAATGGTAAAATTCTGTTATTTAATTAGTTTCAGCTGAAAAAATTATGGTTTAAAAAAGGGAGGCGAAAGATACCAAAGGGACATCCAAACTCACAATGTGTCATTTAATTGTGTCATTTAAATCGTACCAGTACCGATACACGACAACTTGTTGGATGGTTTCAAAAATGTGGATCAAATAGCGGACCAGTATGGGATTTAAGAACCTGATGATCTTGTTGTTCTTCTTCTTTTGTTATATAGACCGCCAATCACCATACGTTAACAACAACAAAGAAAAGCATAAAGCCAACTGACTAATTAAGAGCAATAATAATGAAGGGAAAAAACAACAATAATGAAGAAAAAACAATGATCAAATAACAACAAAAATAACGAGAAAATTTGATGCAACAATAATAATTAAAACAATAACAATTAAAATCCAATTGTTCAGAGAACAATTGAAGGTCTTTCCACTACTTACGATGTATTTTGATACGAAAATATTAAATATCAGTTTAAAATGTCATTTCCAGTGTCAAATGATAGCTCATTGTTTGCTGATTCCAAAAATATATGGTTTCTATACTATTTTGTTTGAAATAAGGGAGGTAATTTGTTAATTCCGGTCTGAAAAATGTCACTTCCGGTACTATTTGATTATTTATTTGACACTGCTTTCAAAAATATATTGCTTTGTATACTTTTACATGCAATTAGTACAAAAAATAGCCACTTCCGGTTTACACAAGATCACTTCCGGTTTGCTTTTTCAAGGTCACATGACTTGTTACCTAATGCACAAAGTCCTTTGACTTTATTATGTATAAATATGAATTTAAAGCAAAGGTCAAAATCTAGACTGTCAAACTTATCTATGACCTTGACCTCAATTTCAAAGTCATAAACCAAGGACCTCAAATCAAAAGACCCTAGGTCTTTAATATGCATAGTTAATGAGTTATATCACTTTACGCATAATTCTAAATATAAGAGGGGCGAAAACTCCCATTTAATGTCTACGCACCCTTTGAACCAAAATTAAGAAGTTACCACATGTTGCAAATGACAAATTAATAGAAATATATTGTCAATATCTTGTACGGTTTATGAAAGAAGTGAGAATAAGCCAAAATCAAAATTTAGAATTTGACCTTGACATTTGACCTTGACCCAAATTTCTTTTTTTTTTTTTTGGACCAAGGACCTCAAATCCAAAGACCCTAGGTCTCTAACACTTTTGGTTTTTCATTTACCAATGCAAATTACTTATATCAAATGCATAAGGGGAAATAACTCTCATATGGAATCTCCGGATAGCTTCGGTTCAAATGATACCCTTAATCCTGAAGATATAACGAGCGATTTGGTAAAATAAATTTGTCGTAATCTTTTACGGTTGCGAAGAAGTAGCAAACACAAGAAAAACAGTGTTCGGGGAGATAACTCTTACAAAGAAAAGTATTCGGTTAAGCAGGGTCAGTTTTGAAAGCGCATAAACTGTTCGATATCATATACCAAATATCAAATCGACATCTTGCGAAACAACCAAACAGCGAAAGAAAAAAAATTAGGCGGAAGAAAAAAAAAATAATCAGAACAAAATCAATAGGTCTTTCCACGGAAAAGTGGAAGGACCTAATAACGAACAAAATCCAGATAAAATTCTATGATATTTTGTTAAAATGCATTCTACATTAAGTACTATGATCATAGTTGTGCTTTTTTGTCATTCGGTATTTGTTTCTTTTCTCTTCATTAATGGCATACGATACAGAAAAAAATCTCTCCTTGATTTTTCCTTCACATTTTGACACAAAGTCAATTTTAATATGCACTTTTGAAATATGCAAAGACCAATATTCTTTTTGACTTACTTTTTGAAATTTGAAATTTGCATGTTTCATTTTAAAACGGTAATTGTCATATTTCAATACCTTTCCGAAAAAATGACACAAATTTTACACGGAAAGAGATATTTTTTCAACCTGTTTTTTTTTGCAAAGAGTTCCTTAATTTCTAGGCCTTGAAGAAAGTTCTTTAATGAAGGCTGAATAAGTTAAATGTTTGTGAAATCATACAATTCTTTGCAATAAATAGCCGTAGACAATTTTCTTACCAATACAAATGCATATAGAAAAAGTTCTATCGTTGATTTTTTTTTCTTGCATAGAACAATCTTGAAGTAGATTAAAGTACATAGTCGATTGACACAGCAAAAATGTGGTGGTTTAACGTTCAATAAGATCAATGAACATGAATAATATCATTGTTCATCGGAGATACCAATTTTACGTTAGTGAAAGTAATCAATTACCGACATCATTCAACAGAGATAAATAAGTTTCAACATTAAAGGTCATACGTGTATTTAAATGATACAACAACAAGCTATATAAAAGCATTGAATTGCTAAATAGTATAATACAAAACTAGTATTTTTTGTCAAAATTAGATATATGCAGTGAGGTGAGATTTTGTGGTCAGTGTTAGACTTCAGCAACCAAATCGGTGTTCCTTTGCTTTGAATGTCGTCAATTACGTGTAGAGATTTAATTTTTTCCATTTATGAGGGTCTGGATGGGGGGTCCTTCATTTCTTTATTCTTTTAACTTTTCAAACTATTTTTCTCTATTTTTTATTTTTGTTTACCCTTATTCTCTGTTTCTTATATTTCAGCACCCCATTATTCTTTTTTCCTTATTTTGTTTGCCTATTTTTCTCTATTCTTTATATTTTTGTCCCTTGTAATCTGCACATTTTGCTCATCATTCTCTATTCTATTGAAAACCCCAATCAGACCCTCATACATTGTAAATTACGATTTAACTGGATGTACTGATTCCTATAGAGTGAACTGATTTAATTTGTGTTTTATTTAATATACTTGCATACAATCTAGCATAAAAAAAAGATTATTTGGTGGATCGGCGTTTTAATATCCAGTGGCAAATATAACATAAATATCGGTACGACTAATGTCTACATTCATTTATATGCACATTTTTACCCATAAATTAACATAACACAAATAAAACAAAAAAATAAACGGTCGTAAAACAATGACGTAATGAAAACATAAATCAATAAAATTGAGAATGGAAATGGGGAATGTGTCAAAGAGACAACAACCCGACCATAGAACAGACAACAGCAGAAGGTCACCAACAGGTCTTCAATGCAGCGAGAAATTCCCGCACCCGGGGGCGTCCTTCAGCTGGCCCCTAAATAAATATATATACTTGTTCAGTGATAATGAACGCCATACTAAACTCCAAATTGTACACAAGAAACTAAAATTAAAAATAATACAAGACTAACAAAGGCTAGAGGCTCCTGACTTGGGACAGGCGCAAAAATGCGGCGGGGTTAAACATGTTTATGAGATCTCAACCCTCCCCCTATACCTCTAGCCAATGTAGAAAAGTAAACGCATAACAATACGCACATTAAAATTCAGTTCAAGACAAGTCCGAGTCTGATGTCAGAAGATGTAACCAAAGAAAATACACAAAATGACAATAATACATAAATAACAACAGACTACTAGCAGTTAACTGACATGCCAGCTCCAGACTTCAATTAAACTGATTGAAAGATTATGTCTTCATCATATGAATATCAGGCACAATCCTTCCCGTTAGGGGTTTAGTATCATACCATCATAACATATATGAGAAGAACATAACCCGTGTCATGCCAACAACTGGTTTTTAAATAAATGTGTTTAGTGCCGATGCAAAGACCCTATAAATGAATCAATATTAACGCCAAAATATGCAATCTTTAATGACCTGAGAACAGTATCGTAACTATATCCCTTCTTAATAAGTCTATTTAAAGGTTTTGTTAGCTTCAGAGGTGAATACTGACATTTTTGTGCTTTAAAAAGAATATGTCCATAAAAAATTGGATGTGAAATACCTGAACGTGTAAGAAGTCTGCATGTTGAGCTATATTTATGAATGATGTCCTTATACCGATGATAAAATTTAGTAAATGTTTTGACTAGTTTGTGATATCGAAAACCCTGGTGTAATAATTTTTCAGTAATACATAAAATTCTCTCGTTAAAATCTAAAACATTGTTAAATACACGAGCGAATCGTACAAGTTGAGATATATAAACACCGTAAGATGGTGACAAGGGAAGTTTGTATTTGCATTTTTAAACAAACATATCAAGTTTTGAGTCTATTTTCGTGTGGATTTTAAATTTAATTTTTTTGTCAAGGTGTAATAACATTTGTATGGTAAAATCCTTCAAGTACGTTTCTAGTAATACAGTATATATGTATATCTATTAATAAATACCTGCAAATAGATACATCCCATTCAATAACGACCCAATCAGTGCAGTCGTCCCCTTGTCACTTCCAAAATAGTCCAGAAATTCAATATAAAACACTCCAAATGCATACACAAACCCATCCATAATCATATGTACCACAAAACAACCAAGCACCACAGCCCAGCCCCAACCACCGTCTGGGGAGACGTGTAGTGTCTTTGTTCCCATATTTTAGTGATCCTGAAATTGTAATACATAATATATAACCACGTGTGTTTAAAGTCCTACATGAAATATAGCCTACATACGGATGATGTGTCCTCATTTAATGATATTAAATATAATAACACGACTTGTTTTTGCTTATTCATCATACTGCAAAATGTTAGCCCATTTATCACCGTTATGTGTGACACGGATTGGAGGCTTTGGAGCCGAAATATAAATGACCGAGGTAAAGTTAAAGAGAAGCACTTTCTTTTTTGGGAATTTGTTAGTATCAAATAATATATCCTATATTGCAGGGAATGTACGTATCAGTTCTCAATTAACAAAAAAAAGACCTCTTCAGTGGTCACATACTCTAATACTTTGAGTGCAAGTTTCTGAATATAATCTAATTTTCACAAAATTCCGTATATTTATATGTTAGTCCTGAGTCAAATCCATGTCCATGTGTCCTTTCATCAGATCTGTCTCCCGTGACGTCATGAACTGAAATGTGTGGCATTTTGTACGTATTCAAATCATTCTGTGTTCTTTTGATAAAGTAGACGTTCAGTAATGTGATATGGCTGTGGACAGGCAAATCTGAATGCAGTGGGGTTAAAGCTCCCAACCCTCACCTAACCTGGACCGTTGTGTAACAACACAACATGAGAACAAACTGTGAAAATCAATCGGATTGGCTCATCAGATTTTCACTAAGTTCAAAGTTCTACTAACAAAAATACAAAGTAACAATCTACGATAAACGCAAACAAAAAAACAAAATGTACTATGTACGACGTTTTCAAAAAAGGAAGATTGTGCAATCTTTCATTTGAATGTCAAATTGAATTATTTGACAAGATTTTTAAACCTATTTTAATTTATGGTAGTGAAGTCTGGGGTTTTGGTAATAATTCTGTTATAGAAAGGGTGCATATGAAATTCTGCAAACTTTTGCTTAAGGTTAAAAAGTCTACACCTAATTTGTAATATATGGAGATTTGGGCAGATATCCTTTGGACATCGATATAAAACTCCGTATAAGCTACTGATCTGAACAAGATTATTGTCTGGAAACAAGAAAAAAGAAAAACTTCCTGCAATTCTATACATTTGTACCAGTACTCATTGTATAAATATAAAAATGATATAACTTGGTTGAAAATAATGTTAGATCCATTCTTGATAAATGTGGCTTGTGATTTGTGTGGGATACCCAATAGTTTGTAATTGATACATGGCTACATATTATTGTGAAACAAAATCTTGTTGATCAATTTAAACAGAAATGGCACACTAATGCGCTAGAATCACCAAAAGCTCTAAACTACCGTATGTTTCAAGAAAACTGTGAATTTGAATATTATTTTAAAAATTTCGATGATTGAAATATTATTACATTATGTAGGTTTAGAACGGAAAATCATACATTTCATACTGAGACTGGCAAAATATTGCAAGAGAAAATAGAAAATGCTTAATTCGTAACTTTGGAGACATCGGAGATGAATTTCATTATATTTTTTACATTTACTGTATTTAATGATGATCGTAAACAGTTATTGAGAAGAAAATATACAAATCTTACGTGTAACAACTGGTGTACATTTATAAGACTAATCAATATGCATGTATGCTTTCTTGGGTAATTCATGTATTTGAAACCATTTTGTGTAATCTGTATACCGTAGTTTATGATATTTGCCTCTGTCTTGCTTTCGTATAACTTTTGTATGTCTGTACATATACATTATGTAATATTTATTGTGTTTATCTCTATACCAATGTAATTTGGTTTATTGAGAAATAAAGATATATATTAAATTTAGACTTGTATATATATATTTCTCTAATTCTTCGTCAATTTATCCCTTTCTGCACCCATTGTATAAAAAAATTTAATCAACGTGTGGTTCGTTTGATCTCAGTTCTTCATTGGTTAAAATCCGATTATGACGTAGAATTTTCTTGCTTTCCTCTGAATTACTATTGTGACGGCATGAAAAAAGGCGACCATGCCTGATGACGTCACATAGAAAGAACACATCTTTTTGCAGATCATTCAAAAAGAAGGAAGAAGTTTGCCTGCATATTGTTTGAAAATCATTAGAGAAACAGATTCCACCACCAAATCTCGTGTAATACGATATTTATCCACTCTCGACAGTTAAATTTTAAATATTTAAAACGCTCGGCGAGCCTCGCGTTTTAAATTTGAAAATTTAACTGTCTCGAGTGGATAAATATCGTATCACACTCGATGCAGTGGTAGAATCTATATATATATATATATATATTTATAAACAAGTCTAAATTGAAAACAACGTTCAAACCTATGATTGCGTTGGATAAAAACCGCAATTTTTATACGTGTGCATGCAAAACAAATTTATTGGTAGAGGGTTCTAAATACAGCACAAACAACATTTTCCAAAAGACCAAAAAAGTGAAAAAGTATATTTTAACAAAACGCATTTGACTAGCAGGTCGAACAACGGATGTTCTTAAACCCTGCTGACTGCCATTGGCGATTGCCAAATAAACGGACCAACAGATGTAACAAAATGGATCTTAACTATTAATTTAATACCAAACAGAAAACAATAAACTTGCGGAAAAGAAGGTATAAAGCAAACAAAAGGTGCACAAATTAGTACACCATATCCGGATTTCGACAATTAATGTCTCTTCAGTGATGTTAGGAATCTAAAACGGTATTAGGAAGGCCATATAATTTACCTTAATTTAGGATAGACTCTTGAATTTTGAAGAGTCGAAATAGGATGAATATATATATATATATATGTAAACCTCAGATCTGTGTACGGCCTCAAATATGTGTCCGTTTCTCAAATATGTGCCCCATCGTGACGTCAATCGCTAATCTATGTCCGCTAAAAAAGATACAGCCTCAAATCTGTGTCCTATTTTCACATTTGTTTTCAATCGTGACGTCATTCGCAAATCTATGTCTGTTCAAAAAATATACGGCCTCAAATTTGTGTCCTTTTCTTAAATCTTTTTCCAGTTTGTTTCGCCATGCTCAAATTTATGCCCGTCTAATAAGTACGGCCTTATATGATTTTTGTTTTATTGAGTCATTTCCCATAATTCAATGTTAAGTTGGGATGTGTTCTCCATGTGTGTGCTTAAAAATTTTACATGCCTGTGTAATTATTGTATGATAATGATTTACATTTTATTGTAAAACTACAACTTTTTCAAATTGTTTGCTTTTCTTGATCCCGTGTTTAATTGTTCTGTAGTAATTATCGTTACTTCCCTTTACTCGTTACGTCTTGATAACAAATACGAAATATAAGTTAATAAACAACCTGAGACAAAATGACATCTGTATACAAGCAACTAAAGATACATGTACGGCCTTCAACAATGAATTAAACCTATTCTGTATCGTAAGCTATAAACACATACACCTATTTACAAACGTTTTGTTCAATGTTTCAATATGTAGATACCACATAAAAATGTGTATGGTATAATTTATTGTGTTTAACAACGACATTTTGTGCCACTATCTTATAAAACAATTTTTTTGTTGTGGGGAAACTATTCAAGTTTCGAATCTATGTATTTTTTTAAAATCCATTGTGTGCCTTGACATCAACATTCAACAACAACAAAGGACATAGATTTGTGTACCCTGTTGTTGTAGTTGTAATAAAATTCTGACAATTTTGAAGGCCAGTCAGTCTTTTTCCACTGACATCTCTTTTCTAAAATATTCTGTCAGTGTTCTATTGAAGCGTTCTATGCGTCCTTGACTCTGTGGGTGAAAGGGACGTCGATGTAACTGTCTTACGTCTCTAATTTCGATAAAGGACATAAATTTGAGACAAAAATGGCCATAAATTTGAGTTAATAAAGTACATAGATTTGAGACAATACAGGGCATAGATTTGAGACAATAAAAGACATGATAGCTATAGATTTGAGACAATAAAGGACATAAATATGGAACGTCTATGACGCAATATTAAAAAGGACATAGATTTGCGGAAAGGACATAGATTTGAGGCTGGACATAGATTTGAGGCTTACATATATATAATTCGTCAAAATAACAGCCCAACAATGTTAGATCTGTAAATTTGCGGAAACAAATTTTTTGTTCTTCCCTGGACGGGATTCGAACTCATGCTACTGAGATATCGCGGCACCAAATCGCCTTGCACTATGCCCGACGCGCTAGACAACTCGACCACCTAGGCTCGACAAAAATCAAGCTTTCGGTGTCCGGGTGTTACCTTTCCTCGCCAGTGTTTATCTAGCGTCGTAACACAGTACATGCTAAATAAGGCATGAAGATGGAATATTACAGATCAGCTGAATTATCTATCGTAGAGCATCTTACAAATTAATGTAGGATGCAGTCACAGAAATAATTGTATTATAAGTACGTCTGAACCAGTGACAAATCTACGACAGATTTTACCCATAGGATCACCAGTGATGGTGATACAAGGCTGAAAACACATTCTGTATACATAATTCGTCTAAATAACAGCCCAACAATGTTAGATCTGTAAATTTGCGGAAGCAAATTTTTTGTTCTTTCCTGGCCGGGATTCGAACTCATACTACTGAGATATCGTGGCACCAAATTGCCTTGCACTATGCCCGACGCGCTATATATATATACCGATAACTCGAATCTATTTTACCGTTTGTCCTTCTTCGTTACTTATTTGACGAACACCAAAAATAGCGTTTTACTTTATTACTGCTGTTTCTAGACAAGTTTTTATATTCTGACTATTTTCACTCTTTGATTTCTCTAATTCTATCACCGATGACGACGTCCGCATTATTCTATAACCGGAGACGATGTTTGCTTAATTCTATAACCGAAGACGACGTCCGACTTATTCTATAACCGAAGTCGACGTCCGACTTATTCTATAAACGAAGACGACCGACTAATTATATTACCGAAGACAACGTCCGACTAATTCTTCATTCGAAGACGACGACCGATTAATTCTATAACCGATGACGACGTC